TGTTTCAGGGTTTAGAGTTCGGGGCTGTATGGCCTGGCGCCAACCTTGAAACATGGTGTGGCCCTGTAGAATACCAAGCCCATAAGCTAATCCCTTACACATCCCCTAACCAGATAGAGAACCCTAAAGAGGAATACAAGTAATTATTTCGCCTATGTAGACCCTCAGCTTCCAAATTGTAGCCCCTAAGCCACTAGATCCTCCACTCTGCACAAACCGACGAATCCGAGAATGGTCATGTCGAGTGGCTTCTTCTGCTCCCCGATGGTCGTCTCCCAAGCGAAATGCTTGCGGCCGTCCTACAGGACGTTTCGGGTTTCGGGTTTGGGTTTCGGGCTTAGGGCTTGGGCTTCGGGCTTAGGGTTCTGGGGTTTAGACACAAGCCCTACATCCCAGACCCTCAATGTGCCAGACCAACCTCTCTTCGACATGCTCGAACCCTGTACTACCTGTACCCACACCAACTCCGAGCCCCACCAAACCGCACACGGTGATCCCCTCTTTGACATCTGTTGCAAACCCTGAACCCTAAACCCTTAACCATAGACCCTAAACCCTAAAACCTTAAAGTCCTAAACCTTTAAGCGTGGACCCTCAACCCGAAACCCTAAAGCCTCAAACCCGAAACCCTTAAGCATCGACCCCTAAGCCCTAAACCCAAAAGCCTAAACCCCTAAAGTGGGACTTGCATTCCCTGAGGGCCAGGAGCCCCTCGGCGCTGCCACCGCACCTGCTTCCTCCAACTTTGTGGGGGTCGGCTCCGGGTCTTCTCCGGCGCCCTTTTGAGGATGTGTCTGGGTTTAGGGTTTGGGGTTTAGGGTTTCGGGTTTAGGGTTTATGTTAAGGGTTTGGGTGCCAAGAAGTTTTGACCGAAACGTTTTGACCGACTTTTGACCAAAACATTTTGACCAAGTCTTGACCGAGTTCTTTTCTGGAACCACATTGTGAATCTGGGGCTGGGCTGGGCTGGGCTGGCTGCTGGGCTGGGCTGGGCCGGGCTGGGGCTGGGCTGGGCTGGGCTGTGGAGGAGTGTTGGACAGGATGAGTTGGAGATTAACCTGAAGCGCTGCTTCGTGGCTTTAGTGTCGCACTCACAAGGGTCCCAAGTACCGCTCTAGCAGAAGGTAGGAAGTACCAGTTTTAAGCCGAGAAAAAATACCCAAGTGGTCATAGAGAAATACAGGGACAACTACCATACGGTAGTATCGTAGTATCTTGTAGTGCAGACATGAAGGGACCTATAGGGGGGTACTGTTAGCTATTTTTACGACCTCTACATGCAATGGTCATTTTCCTGCGACCGTGCCAGGGTGCTAGCTCCTTCTCTGTCGCCCTGGCTTTGCCGCGGATGAAGGACTTCGTTTAGGGTCTAGGGTTGGGTGCAGGGTTTATCTATACCCCCAAACCCCAACCCAGAACCGGGGGGGGGGGGACACCCAAAGCCCAAACCCGAAACCTACAAGTAGGGCGTCGATGATCACGGAAGTGTCCTCCGGAAGGCTGGAAGCAGCCCGCCCGCTGCGCCTCCGCTGCTTGCTCTCAACTCCTCCATGTGGTCACGGAAAGCCGCGTTGGCTTCCGCGGCTGCCCTGCAAAGTGCCGTTTTAGGAACCTGGGAAAAACCCGCTCGAATGGCCACCCACTGTCTGCGGCCTCTGAGCACTGAGGCGGCCACACGACCCAGCAGGACGGGTGGTTTTTCCTCGAATTCTACCCGCTTCCACGACTTTACTTTGACGTACTTTGAGGGCATGTCTACAAGCAAGACATGCCTTCGGTTTCGCTTGAACGGTTGTCCCGAGGAGTATCCGAACTAAGAGTATGTATATGTTCCAGCCCATGGCATGCAAACAGCATGCGTGAATCCTTTCATTCCCAGCTTTGACAGCCGTCCAGTGCGAGTTTCTTCTCAATGGACAGCCAAGCATCACCCCACTCTTGCAACAAGCAGTGCTCCTGTCAACTAGCAGGTGCCAGTGCTCAATAGAAAGCTAGCCTGCAACAGCTCTCCAGTGAGTCTGCTCAATGGAAAGCCCTCCTACATCCTCATTCCGCCTAAGACCTTGTCAAGTTGCTGGGACAACGAGCTCCGTCTTCCCCTCCGAGGTTGGCTCAGAGCAGCAGCCGCCCATGGCTTGATGCGTGACGGGACCAGGAGGATAGCTATTGAGAAGACATCCGCTGGAAACCCGAGGGGAGTTCACCACGAGATGGAGTTCACAGCAAGATGCCGCAAGCAGCACTCCGAGAATGGTCGCCAAACGCCGTAACGCCATTTCTGTTCGTGTTGTCTCGACTGCTCAGAGTCGATGCTCGCACGGTGCCAGCATCAGCCCTTTGGAGCACAACAAGCCCCTTTTCGGGTCTCGGGGTGCCTGCATCTCGTACTTTTGGGCATTCGCGGGGTTGGGCGGTAACAATGTCAAGCCAAACCCAAGCCGCACATGCTACTTCAACTCCCAACTACCCTGTAACTTACCTCCTCATAAAGGACTGTTGCTTTAAGAACTTAAACCCTGTAGTGCTGAAGCCAACATCCTCATCCCAAAGCCCTGAAACTTAAACTCTGAAATAGCATCGACCTAACACCCGAAACCGGTGCACGGTAACACCCAAGCGCCTCTCGAGAGGCCCGGCGTCCAGGGATCGTCTGGCACGCCTCTTTGATCAGCAAAGGCCAGAGAAAGAAAGGTAGAAAAACACATGTTCGGACTCTGGTACAACGATTCAGGACCCCACGACAGCTATGTCGATTGCACCCAGTCACTCAGTCATTCAATCACTCATTCGCTCACTCACTCAACTCAACTCAAGACGTTTCTCGGGGGGAAGATTCAAGACAAATCCAAAGGGCTCGCTCGCTCACGCACATGCAGAAGGTTGGTTCACAACTTGGCGTCGGCCGGAGAAGCATGACGATGCCATCGATACACGATCTGACCACAACAATAGTTCCGCAGGAACAAACTCGGACTGCAGGCAGAGATGCCTGCCTCAAGAGAGAAGCCATGGCACGCAGGTCCGTCCCCTCTTGCTGCTGGAGTTTTGAATTTGAGGCATGGTCCAAGTCTTGTCAGCGGCCGTCTCGTGCGGATGCAGTGTCAGCATGGTTACCCGTAGACTCCGTAGACACACTGGCTGGAAGCACAAAGATGCACCATGTTTGCTCCGGCCAGGAGCTCAATAGTCTGGACGGTGGCGGAACCACGGGTGAAACGTTTAAGGACACCACAGACCCAGGTTTGTCTTGTGCCGCTGGCTGGGCTGGGCAGGGCTGGGCAGGGCTGGGCCTGGGCTGGGGCTGGCCTGGGCTGGGGCTGGGCTGGGTTGGGCTGGGCTGGGGCTTGGGCTGGGCTGGGCTGGGCTGGGCTGGGCTGGGCTGGTGCGCGACCCTGAAACGGAAATTGGTTTATTCGGAAAGGTGTGTCTCCACCGAAAAAAAAGCTTCCGGATGGCCAACAGCAACAAGCAATTTATTTTTATTTTTTTGTTGGGGTTTAGGGTTTAGGGTCTAGGGCTTAGGGGAACCTGATTAAGAAACCCTGGCCCTATAACCCCAGATATATTAGGATTCATATAAGGAACCCAAAGAAAGACCCAGGGTTTCTCATTCAGGTTCCGATATTAGCCGGCTGGAAGGCAAAGCCTTGAGTTCTTGTCCCGGTTCCATGTCCAGTCGTGTGCCCAATGGAACAGGATGTCCCGGAGGCGATTGAGCTCATGGAACCGGGGGTGCCTGGCCACCCCAGAGAATCCCCGCTCACACTCAACTGCATACTTCAACTCGCGCTCACAAAAATCTCACAGAAATGAGTCTTTCCAATCACAATGAAAATCTCAGCCAGCGTCGATTGCAGTGCGAAGCACGCCAAGCTGGCTGTAAAGTAAAGTAACAAGGCAGCTCTCCAGGCAGGCATCGTGCTCGCGGGCATTGCCTTCGCAAGTTAATTTTAAGAACGCCTCCGGGGGTTCTGCGCCCGGAACGTGTCTGACGCGGCAACACTCTCCGAGGACCGGAAATAATTTGCTTGTCCTCACGGGGCCTGAGCAATACTTGCGGCAGGTTAGACAGTGCCTGCCAAATAGACATGATTTAAGGGTAAGGAGAGGGGTCCAGGAACATGGCTTATTTTGCCGTACTTCGATCCGAGTCAGTGCTGGACTCGGGACACCACTTTCAGTAGTGCTGTGGAGCTCGTGAATCCCTTTATTCTAAAAAAATGAGGCCTTTGTATGCGAAGCACAGAAAATGCAGGCAGCCTTCATATTAATCACAGTCGCAGGGCACCCAGATCTCAATCGTTGCCTTCTGAAACACCCCGCCTATCCTTTGCTCAGGATGTTCGGCTGAGGGTATGCAGTGCCAAGCTTGGAAGGATGGTGCAGGGACGGAATGACGAGAACTCTGCCAGGGCTCCTTTCACAGAAAAAACCAAACCCCAAACGCCTGATAATCAATGGTGGGGGCGAATTCGAAGCTCAAGTCTCGTGAAAGGTCCCTTTGTCTGGCATAACTCGACCCAACAAGTATGTACAAGAATCGCCTTTTATAAGTGTTGAGACATTATTGTGCCATTGTTCTACCTACATTTTTTTCAGGTTTGGTAAGGGGTTAAGAGCCTTGAACATGCCATCACTGACCCAGTGTAATCACTAACAACACACCCAAAAAATACTAAACCCACCTGCGCTAAACCCTAAGCGCCAAATCCGAAGATGATTGAATAACAACTTGTCTCCACAGGCAGGTGACACCCAAGCTCAATCTCAGCCATGCACCCTGGGTGCAACGTTTTTATTCAAACCACCAAACCATAAACCCTAATGTACAATCTATCGTGACCCTACAAAAAAATAGTTTTGGTAGTTCAAGGTAGGGTTTACAGTAGCGTTTGTGGTACATCCTGGACTATCTCCAAAATGTACACAGCCAAGAGCTTCAAGTCCTTCAAACAATCGAACGTATGTCCGGCCTACACCCCTTATTCATAGTGGGCATTTCACAATAAAATCTCGAAGTCCTGTGGCAAGTAATCGTGCCCGACGAAGACGCGGGTATCGTCGGGCAATGCCATGATCCTGTTGACCCAAAGCGAAGGAGAGGGGGAGAGGGGGCTTGATAGTGCGCTCAATCTATTGCAATTCATCAGCCCTAAACCGTAAACTCTAATCCTTAAACCCTCATAAACCCTAATCGCTCAACAACCCTATCAACACAATCATTAAATGCAAGACAAGGCAAGTCCCGTCTTGGACCCTGCGATTCGGGTGGTTGTGGTGGGTTTGCTCGAAACCTCAGTATCGTTTTAAGGCCTTCGGGTTAGGGCTGCAAGTTTACGGGTTGTAGGGTTACGGTTTAGGGTTCAAGCTTTAGGATGGTACAACAGAGCCGCGACTGAGGATTCTGCCTCAGGCTGCGCTGCCGAAATTATCCCCCATGTTCAGGGCTGTCAGGCTTTGCAAAGTGCTTACAGGGCTTAGTCTCGGGCCTAGGGCTGAAATGGCTTGTTGGGGTTCAGAGGGTTTGGGCGGATTTCAAGCTGCTTTGTCACCTAAAAACCCCCAAGACTCGGAGCAGCAACTGCAACAGCTCTAGGTATCTTCATCTTCAACTTCACCTTCATCATCGCTGTCATCGTCATACCACCATCACCAGCGTCATGCTCATGCACATGACCTTCATCCTCTTGCTCCTCATCATCAACATCATCATCACCATCATCAATCACCAATCATCATCATCAATCAATCAATCAACCAAGCAATCAGTCAACCAATCAATCAATATCATCGTCATCATCATCATCATCAGCAACATCATCAGTCGCCTGTGTCATCATCATCGTCGTCGTCATCATCATTATCGGCATCATCGTCGTCGTCACTGCCTTTATGAACACAGCATCTGCCAAACTACGAGCGAAGTCTCCTCTGGATGGAGGAGTAAAGAGTTCGCGCGGAGCCGCCGGGAAAGTCACATCTCGCTGATCCGTAATCCGGCATGAAGATCGTGTCTCCTGCAAACCGACGGCTTACTTGCGCACGAAGTCAAGGTCGTACAATAAACCAATCCTCTTTGACGCGAAACTGCTACTGGCCCTACATGTGCTCCTGTACAGGTCACGATTTGAGTAAAGTTTAGGACATAAGCCTTGGGCCTAAAACTTAGCCTGACCTCCGTTTATCCAAGGTGCATTGAGAACCCAGAAGCTCCAAAAAGGATTGGACAAAAGAGCATTCCATTCCCCCCTTAACGTGGGACCCTTGAAGAGCGTTGTGCCGAACCAAAAGTATGCAGTATGCCAAATTGAGTACGGGCCTTTAAGGAGGAAGCCCTGATAAGGCATGCCGGCGTTTGAAACGTTACTGGCGGGAATCTTTAATAAGGAACCCTCAGTTAACGCGCACCCAACCTCCGGTAGCACGGCGGAATTTAAGCAGAGCGGGGTATATGGCCTTGAAAGGTTTTCAAAAGTTTTCTAAAGAGTTTTGTGATGGTCCTATAGGGGGGCTTCCCGGTCTTCCTATATTCCGCCACGAGGCCCCGCAACTTGGAGCGAAACGCCTTATGCGGGGATTCAATGATTCGAACAGGGCTTTGGCGCATCTTGTCCTGTAACGACATAAAGCAACCGTAAGCATACTGTTGCTGATTTTCCCGACCTCCATACAAAACTGCAACGATAACAAGAAACCGTAAATTCTAAACCCTATGAAAAAGAACCCTAAACATAGCATTGCTTGTTTTTCACGACCTCCACCAATGTCTCCGCAAGGAATCATGTGCTGATTTTGCGCCGAGAACTTTCTCACGAGCTTCAATGTGGGGTGGCCTCAAGTTGACAACTCAGAGGGACCCAATTTGACAATCTGCCGGCCCAAATTGACCATCCAGGGGTTGCAAATTTGACAGTTTGGGGGGTAGGGGCTCAAATTGACAATCGACAATTTGGGGGGGCTCAAATTGACAACTCAGGCGGTTTCAAGCGGGGAGAGGGGCTCAGATTGACAATCCAGGGGCCCAAATTCTGAGGGCACGGCAGACATCTCGATTGCGTTTGCCCTTTTTTCGTGAGGCCTTGAGGACATGGCTCGTGGCGATCATAGCTTCTTGCAGAACTATGTCGGCAGCTCTGTTATCGCCTTCTAATTCCTGACTTGCTGCCTGCACGGTGGCTTCGATTCGTTTGCCGAAAGATTTGCGTGCCGAACAAGCCGCCGGCGATGCCGTTCGCTTCTACTTCAGTTTCACGCTTCTCTGTTCAGTGCCACCACTTTGCCACAAAGCATCTTGCCCTGCAGCGCAATATGGCAGTCTCGCGGTCCCAGTGTCCTGCAAGGATCACTGATGGCGTGCCCGCGGCACCCTGGCCCGGCCAACTCCAGCTTGGGTTCCCTGTCAAGCTTGTCCAGTTTAGCAAGGCACTGGTTGCCCCCGAGGATGACACTGTCTTTGGTGCCCCGCTGCAGAGCCAACGGCTTTGCCTCTGGAAGGGTCTGTGCACATGATGCATCTTCTGGCGTATTTCTAACTTTCCAAGCTTTCGGGCTTGGTCTAGTCAACCTGGTTTCCCGTCCACGTCCATCCCACGACCGCACACACCGAGGCTGAGCATGAGATACACAGCCGTGGCGACAGGCAGCAGTCTATTAGCGGCGGCCAGAACCTTAAACCGACGAGAGCAACCGAAGACAAATAGTGCTGTACCTTGAAGGGGCGACATCAGCGACCAGATGTTCGTGGACCAGGGCCTCGGCAGTGTGTGTCGTGTTTGCAATGCCTCCCAATCGGGGAGAAGGCACCATGCTTCCATTTAGGCCAGCATGCTTTCCAAGGTCGGACTCGAAGGCAAAGGCGAGCTGCAAGCGCGTCAACGCCTTGGCTGGATTGAACATATATATACTCCATAGGGCACGTCAAAGCATCGTCCGCCTCGCTGCCTGGCACCACGCTCAAGAACGGAACGAAGACATCAGCAGCTTCGTCGAAATCGGACCCGATCTGGCACATGGACAAGTGATAGTCCAAATGCTTCTCATAGACACGCACAGGTAGCAATGGGGCCTCCGTGTTGGGAACGGGGTGTGGGCCGCTGTACCAGTCCTGCATCATTGCTTCCCAGACCTCAACTCCATCATCGAAAAGGCCCGTGCACATTCAACATGAACCAACAGGTGTAACCAGCGGCAGGCTGCAAAAGCCATGTGCGGGCCGTGACACCGAATCATTCGTAGAACTCCTGCCGAAACGTGACGGGCAAGTCCTTCTAAAGTGTCACACGGACGCACCTCTCCTGGGACCAACTACGCACAAGCGTTGTCCCGTGAACCGTTTCATCAAAGACATCAAAACCCGTCCATAGATACACACATGTCTTTGTGTATGCACACATATCTATACTGTACTGCCAATTACACTACCCAAAACCACTCACTAAGACCTCGAGCTCAGAACTGGGGATTAAAGCCCCGGTCTTGGGATTTAGGGTTTAGGTAGGATGTAGGGCTTCAGAGATTAGTAGTGTCCAGGAGTCCAGGGCGCAAATAGTTGAGGATGTGGGGGGCTCCTCGGGTTCAGGGTTTCGACCTGAAAGTTGGGCTTAGGGGTAAGGGCTTAGGGTTTAGGGTCCAACCTCTCTACGTGAACCACATAAAGCAGAGGCCATAGGGTTTAGGGCTTTATGCCTGTAGAGGTAGGTTCTGTATGGTTCAGATGAGTCGTAAACCCTGTATGCGTTATGCCTAGATGCCCTCGTCTTGCATCCTGTGAAGAGTGCGTCGCCGATGTGGTAGCCTGCAGTCTTGGCTTCATGGCTTTTCCACCAGGCAGCTAACTCTACGACTTAGGATCACGCGTGTCTTCAAGGACAGACTAAATGTCAATCTTAACTAGGTACTACGTCGGCATAATGCGTCCAAAGAGTAAACGAGATCCTCTCGAGACCACACTACGTTTGAAATTCAACTCCTGATAGCCTCTTATAAACCCCTGAAGCCTAAACCGTAAAAGCCTCTTATAAACCCTTAACCCGAAACCCCCCAAAATTCCTGAGAACACTAAGGTGAGTTTATATCTCAATCCCGAGCTTTGGTCTCCCCTACGAGAGGCATGAAGCTGTTACCCTTAGCATCGACGGACTCATATTTTGAGGCCTTGGGGGCCCAAAAACCCAAAACCTAAACCCTAAACCCCAAATCCCAAAACGCGAAACCCCTAAACCTAAACTTAAACCCTAAAACCGTAACAAAGTCGGCTCGTGCATTCTCTCGGCGCATAGTGCGAAGCTTCGACTTCGGAACCTGAGCCCTTGTTATCTCAACTCCTTGCCCTCCTTAAACCCTTAACCCCTAATCCCTAAAGCCCTAAAGGCCTAATCCCTAAAGCCCTATAACCCTAGACCCTAAACCCTAAATCCTAACTCCTAAAGCCCTAACCCCTAAACCCTAACCCCGAAACCCTTACACCCTCATCTCCAAGCCCCTTAAAGATCGAATCCAACGGCAGAAACTAGAGGTCCCGCGCTCTTTGGCTAAATCCAAAGTTTCAAAGGCCTGCGCACCAAATCCAAAAACTACGGTTGAGATATAAATCCTGCATTACCCCCAATAAGGAATAGACCGTAATTCCCTGAGTTTAAGGTCTTTAAGGTAATGCAGGATATGTATCATCAACAGTACTATGACTGGAAAGACTAGACCCTATTAGCGCTGGACTCGGTCGGCTTAAATCACCCAAAAAGCTCAATACCCTTCAACTGCCTACAATTGCTTTATATGTGTGTGTATATATAGTTATATATAGGTATGTATGTATGTATGCATGCATGCATGCATGTATGTATACCCTGAACCTGTGAACCCTAGCCCCCAGTCTTGAACGATGTTAAGCAGGATTGGTGATATCTTCTAGCAGGGCTCCCGAGAATTTGACCAAAACGTACTGTCCTTTGCGGCCCTCGTAAACTATCAGAACCAATCCAAGGAATTGTATTCATTATGACACGCTAAAACCTCAACCCTAAATCCTACACCCTAAACCCTAAATCCTGAAGCCTGAAGCCTAATCCGCTCGGGACACGGGTAGGGCCCCGGAATCCTAGTCCTCGGCTATTTACAACTCGGAGTTTTGAGATCGGTTTCCACTACAGTGGAAGCCCAATAGTTGGAAACCCAATAGCCTCAATCCTTATGAGTGATGAAATGTAGATGGAAGCCCAGCACTAGGTATCCTGAAACCGGTTTCCAACTTTTTGGGGCTTACTCTAAGGCCAAGACCCCGAATTCTAGAGGCCCTAAAATACTAAAGGAACAAACGAGGGCACATGGCTTGGTTCGTGGCGGAATGAAACCTTTTTTTTTGGACAGGGGCTGTCTACTACGTAGCAAAAAATAAGATCATGTGTCTGAATTTCCTTTATTGCAACTGTGCTGCAGATGCAGGCCGGGGTGTGACCCGGCGTGTGCATCACCGAAGCCTGCACCAACCGGCAGTTTAGGTTCAGGACTTGCGGTTTACGGATTTAGAGCTTTAGGGTTTAGAGTTTAGGGTCTTGATGGCTAAGGACCACGGTGTTCCTCTGGACAATAGGGCCAAGGGCACCGCAGGAAATGCAGGGTGCTAAGTTGCGGTCCAATCTGCTCGAGCTCACAAGTCAGCTCGAGCTCACAGGAGTGAGTGGTTTAGGGTTTAAGGTTTAGGGTTTGGGGCTTAGGGGTTTAGGGCTTAGGGGTTTAGGGTTTAGGGTTTGGAGTTTAGGGCTTTGGGGTATAGGGATGATGGTGGGTATGGGGTTAAGTTGCTGAGGGCGACGACATTGACTATATATTGAGAGCAGACCGCTAGAAACAGGGGTTGTGCTGTTGTGCTGGGGCAGGGCACGCAAACACCTAGCACTTTTTATGCTGTTTCGATGCTTCGACAGCACAAGCTAGGTCCTTTGATGAGGCATATACCAAAACGCCAAACCCCCAAAGCGCAAAACCCGCTGGCTCAACCCCAAACCTTAAACCTTAAAGCCCTAAACCACCCTAAACCCTAAGTTGCTAAAGCCCTAACGAAGCCCAAAGGACTTTTCGGGAGTGGGCTGGGGTCTCATGACGCCGGCGTCGACCTAAACACCCGACAGGGGGGTTTGCAGCGATACTCTGCCGCCTTCGGCGGCTCTTCGCTCAGAAGAGAGGGTCGAATTGCAGCGAATCCCGGGTTTCCGGGCGAAAATCTCAAGCGATTTAGGGGTTATGGTTCGGGTGTAGATCTCAAGCGATTTAGGGCTTAGGACTTAGGAGGTAGATCTCACGGGGCATGTGCCCAGGTAGAGCTCACTTAAATGATCAGGGAACTTAGTAGGTAGGGCTGTAATTGGATTAAACACGAGCTGACAGCGATGACAATACCCATCATACTTGTTCTTATATATCCACAAGTGATGCAGATGTCACAAATCACGGGCAGTCTGCTCAGCTGCATCAGTACATAAGCGCAGGGGTGGCGATGGCTCCCACCTGAAAGTTCGATCATCGGCTGACAGAGCTTGTGGTACAGAGCTTGGCGTTTAGTTTAATGGTAGTTTAGATTCTGCTTGGCATGGTTTAGGGCCGTGGCCCAGGGTCTCGCGATAGACCCGCTTGACCGTCAAATCCTGCACTTATGAGATTCCTTAGTATGCTGAGATTGTGCCGTAACATTAAAATACTTAGAAGATTGCTAGCATTTCTTCATGTGGAGCTTCATTGTGGTCTTCATTTTCTTCATCATATATGTCTTCAGTGTTTCCAGGATTCCCGTCCGACAATTCCGCGGCATTCTCCACGACATGACGGCGGAATGACCAAGCTAACGAAAGTAACCAGTTGATCGATTGAACAATAAGACCGTTCTGTGAGAAAATCGTGGACAATCCGGTCAAACGATAACTGCACACACAAGATAAAACGGTATTGTATACACACAACGACGCACATGATGCACGTCAAAAACCCTTTGGGTAGTTATCTGTGTTGGGATTCCTTTTTAGGTCCCCAATATAGTACGGCACCCTTGTGAAAAGGACCCTTAAAGGGGAACTAATTTAAAGAACTACCCCTCTAGTTCTAAATGCCGGACAACCGATGTCCTGTTGTGCATAAGGAGTTCGGTTCCGGGACCTATAACTTAAACCCTACTGTGCGTCGCTCTGGTGATTATACCACGTGCACAACCTATGGAGGTCTAGTCCTTCCGGTATGAGGGTGTTTGGAGTTGCTGTTTGAGGATTTCGTTAGTGTTTGCCTAGGTAGTGCTAAGGCTTAGGGTTTAGGGTTAGCAGTGAGTCGTGCAGCAGCCGCATGATCAATCGACGGCTACTCTGTCTGCATGCATCTCCAGCCCAACGATCTCGGAAATTCGGAGCACCAGCCCCTAAACGGCGGAGGGGTTTTTTGGATTCCTAACCCTGGCGGGATTCCCAACGTTGGCCCTCTGCTTGGGTTACAAGTACCGTAAATTGCTCTGTCTTGTATGAAGCTATCGGGGAATTGCCATTAGCAGGGTTTTGTTTTGCCCCGAGCTATTGGGGGAGTGCAATTTCCAGTCTCCTGTTTTGTGTCGGCTCTTGTGTCAAGCTATTAGGGAATTGCAACTTGCAGGGTTTTGCTTCGCGTCAAGCTGTTGTGGAATTATAATTGGCAAGGCTGTGCTTTGCCCCAAGCTGAAGGACTACAATTTCGAGGCTCGTATCTTGTGTCAAGCAGGGTCTTGCTTTGCATCAGGCTCTGGGGGATTTCAATTTGCCAGGTCCTGTTTTGCCACAAACTATTAGGGATGGCAACTTGCCGGGGGCGATTCCGGTTCGTCATATTTCTTGAACACGCAAAATCAGTTCTCGATTGCGGTTCATCATACATCGTAAGCACGCCCCTTCATGTAGCGATTCCGGGACATCATATCATAATACATCTTAAACACCCCGCATCATGTGGAGAGTCCGGCTCAGCATGTTTTTACACACCCCCCTCATTTGGCGATCCAGGTTCATCATACATCTTAAACACACTCTTTCATGTGGCGAGTCCGGTTCATCATATATCTTCAACACGCCTCCTCCTGTGGCGCTTCCCGTTCATCATAATAAGTATATCTTAAACACGCTCCTCAAGTGGCGATCATAATTAATCATAATT